GGAGAGGAGGCCTTGAATGTCTGCTTTGAGCGGTTCGCGCCTTCTCGGACATCAGAAAGTTCGCGGGCTGTGTCCCGCGCAGGTGGGAGGATCTCGAGGCCCCCCACGCGTTGCTAGGCCAGCTCTCCCACGACAACTTTGCCAGTTTGCTCCAGGAGGCCAATGCGGGCCCCGACGGGGTCAGCGTTGCCCGCGCTGCCCAGGTTACCCGCGCGCAAGCCGCCCGGCCCCCAAAAGCAAGAAGGCGTCTTTCGGTGGCATCTTAGACCCCGAAGGTCACCTCATTCAGGGCCCCGGCGAGGCGACGCGATAAACTTCGTGGCCGCCGTGGGCAAGTGCAGGCTGAAGTAGAGATAGGGCCGCAGGGCAACCGCTGCGCGCGAGTTCCCGGTCCCGCGTGGCCCTTCTTTTTGCCGCTCTCCCGCGGCGATTTGAAAATTTGGTTTCCGCCGGGCGCGCTGGCCCCCCTGGCGCCGATGGCATTCCGTGCGCCGCCCGGAGTTTGGGAGGGCATCCGTCAGTTGAGTCCCTGTTCGCAAACGATCAGGCGGCGCTGTAGACGGGGCCCCCCTGCCCCCGCATTCAACCACTCTGACGCCGTCGCGCTGCCGAAGGGCGACCTGTCGTCCAATGGCGCATCAGTTGCCATGCGGCCTTCAGACGCCAGGACGATCGCTCTGTCGGACAGATGCAACAAACTTGTCGCCTCTGCCCTTTTGTTGGCCCCTCATCAAGCACGCCCGGGCCACAGTGGCATCGTTTCCCAGGTCAAAAGCTGTCGCATGCCCAGCCTCGCCCACTCGTTCATTCGTCGCATACTTCGCGTTTCTGGAGCCCCCATCCCAGCCTCTCTTCAATGCCATCGACGCTCATTATGGCAACCTGTGAACTCGCAGTCGCTTCCGTGGCAGATTCGACGGGGGATATCATTCGTCGCGGGATGACGCCAGGATGTTCGACCTCGGCCGTCGACCCCTTTCTTTGGTATCACCATCGCCCGCTCGTCAGGACAGATGCTCGTGCACTTCCGCGCGCAGGCGACGACGGCTTGCCGGCTGGTAACCTTTTCAGATATTGCCTGGTGTTCTTCGGGTCTTTGTCCAAGTGGCTCGAAGCAGCGGCCTCAGTCTGAATTTGAAGATATGCTCGCACGTGGTCCTGGGTTTGGTTTCCGGGCGCGACGTCGCTTGGGAATTCAGGGGCTACGGGCTAACAGCAGCCAGCTCACGGTTCAGGGCCAGGGCTCTACTTGGGGATCTGAGAAGCACAGTCGCGCGTTGTCCTGGGCCGCCCCCGCCGAAGTGCTTCTCGGTCGTTGCCGTCGTATCCGCGGCCTTGCCATGGGCCTGGCCAGGAGCATTGCAGCCTGCGGTTTTCTCGCCCACTCCGTTCTCGGCCACGCGCAGCAGTTCTTCGCTCCGACGCCCGCGGCGTGCAAGAATGTACGAGAGGACCCCCAGGCCCACGCGGCAGCGCCGAGGTTTGCGATTCCTGCAGAAATTCGTTCAAGTGCCGATGTCGGTCTACGGAACATCCGCCGTCTGGAGATTGATACGAAAGCTGCTATGTGTTGACGTGCGCAGAAAGCTGGCATGTTCCACCAGTACAACGAGCGATGCGGAGAGGTTCTCGACGACCCATAGCGTCTTTATTTAACGGGATGCGCGCGAAGTGAACTTCTACATTTGCGAAGCGCACAGAACCGTCATCCATCGTGGTACATGTGTGTGTGTTTCTTCGCTCGGCGTCTCCTGCCGAGTCCTTTTCAGTATCCCTACTGAGGCCACTCCGCGCGATGCTGATTTCTGAGTAACAAGGCTCGGTCTGATCAGTAAAGCCTTGCCCGTTTTCATGATTTATTCTTCTTTTCCGATCGACGCATAGCGCAACGCCTTCGGCAAGATCGCCAAATCTGCAGAGCCGGTTGTTGTGCAATGGGCGGGGACAGCACCCGCTTTTACCACAGCTGTCCGGTCCTCACTGCCGCCGCCGGATCCCACCTCAGCTCGCGCTTCCGCCTTGCTGGTCTGAGCTCCACCCCGTCTCGCACTCTTCTATCTCATTCGCGTATCCTTTTTTATGACAGTATTTTTTCTATTGCCGCTTTTCACGGTATCACGCTCTCTGCTTCCTCGGCAACGGTCTCGAGCGCAGCCGTTGTGAGGGCCGTCGACGCCAGAGCCCGCCTGCTCGCCAAGGGCTCGACGGCGCGGCGCGCCCTGTTGGGGAGAAGCAACACCGCCCGCAACTTAGGGTATCATTGTCGTCATCCCGATCGTCATCGTTCGTCGTCATCGTCATCGTCATCGTTACCACCACCGCCATCATCATCATCATCATCATCACCATCATCATCATCATGTTCATCATCCCCATCAGTAGCATCAGCATTATTGTTTTTCCCTGGCATCTCGTTTCGTCCTCTGGTGCCAATGTTCACATTATTTCGTTTTTTCCAACCACTCTCATGCTGACACCGGTTCTCCCTTTCCTTTCATGTGTAGAGTTCGTCGTATCACGTGTGTTGAATCATGTGTTTCCTCATCATCCTTCGTCTCCTCCTTTTCTTGTCCTCTGGTAGCCCATGTGACCTGGAGTCTCTTTTTCTTCCTCGTCCCCCTCCTCCTCCATCGTCCGTCGGCTTGGGCAGATTCTTTCCGTGGGTGTCCCGCAGCACCAGGGACAACGCATGGCACCTTGATCAGCCAGGTCCGGCGCAATGATGACGCGCACAGATTTTGAAGTCGGCTTTGGCGCGGGCCAAGGTATTGGTTCCCACCACATTCCGCCGGCGAGCGAGGGGGGAGTGAGAAAGGGCGGGCCTTCTGAGACGGCTTGGAAGTCCCCCGGCTTTTGGAGAAGTTCGCTAAGCCATTCCCGAAGACACAGAAAAAACCCTTTCCAGAAGGCCCGAGGGTTTCCGAGAAGCCCCGCCGCTTTCTGAGAACGGCCTTTCCTTCTCACTTTCGGGGGAGCGTAAGACCCGGGTTTGCCAGGACTCGGGTTCGCCATCGTTTTTTGACGACCGCGCCTCGGATTTTGGCGAGGAGGAGTTTCGTGGGATGTCTGCAGCGGGAGGCCTCGTCAAAATGCAGGTTCGGCCTCGTCATTTTTGTTGACGACCTCGTCGGGGATTTCCGAGTCCCCTGTACCCAGGTCTTACGTCCCCCTGACACTTCCCCACCTCCCCCCCTTGGCTCGCCGCCGAAATTGAGCATGGCTCTTGCTTCGGATCGGGCCCCACAGAGCGAAGCCTCGCGTTCCGCTCTCCAGCTGCGGCCCTCTGCGCCTCGACCCCCTGCGCCGGTGCGCCCCTCGGCGCCAGCGGCTCCGAGCCCAGCACAGCACAGGGCAGAGCGGACGACTCCGAATGTCAAAGGCGCCTTCGAGGGCGCGAGGCGATTTGCGTTTCGCGGTCCGGCGCCGATCCGTCCTCCTTCTCTTACTCTCCCCATGGGGGCGGCGCGAGGGCACGAGGTTGTTCGCGCTTCGCGCAGCGCGAAGCGCGAAGGCGCCCCTGGAACGAAGGATTGCAAAAAAACCCTTCGTTCTTTTGCAATCCTTCGTTTTTTTGCAATCCTTCGGGTTTTTTTTGCAATCCTTGGGTTTTTTTGCAATCCTGGGTTTTTTTTTGCAATCCTTGGGTTTTTTTGCAATCCGGGTTTTTTTGCAATCCTTCGATCTGGATCAACTGCTGGATGAAAAAGACTTCGAACCGTGCGTCGGGCCCAACGTCTGCGCAAGAAGGAGGAGCGCCAGACGGCCAAGCAGGCCACGATGGCCATGGGTGGTCTCATCTGATCCTTTTCTTCCGGATGGTCCCCAGCCTCGCGTTGAGGCCATTCCACATCTAGCAGGTGCGGCTGGCCAAAGCGCAGATTTCTGGGGAAAGTGTTGCTGCAGAGCCCGTTCTGGCACCTGCTCTACGTCTGGACCGCCCTCGTTCACCCCCGCATCTCGGACGTACACCCTCTGATCAGCACGCCGCCGGTTGAGTTCCGCCGTCCTCGGCCGGTGCATTGCGACGAGCTTTGCCTTTGGATGAGTTGCCACATTCTGGGGAGATCTCTTGCACCGTCATTTGCTCCAGCCCCTGGTCCTTCACAATCTCGGTCGGATCCGATGGGCGCTTCGGCAAGGAAGCCGTCCTTTGCCCGTGGTGAAGGCGCTGGCGGTTCTAGATTGAGTCGGCCTGATCATAACACGGGGCTGACAAGGAAATAATTTGCTCCTTGTTCTGTTCCGGCAGTAGCCATCCATTCTGCCGTCTCATTATTCGTTCATGTATCCAGTTGGGTGGCTGCATGCGTCGAGCATTCTGCACAGATCTCGTGTCTTGTACTCCATGTTTTTGGCCAATACATCTTGTGACTTGTTTTGTTTCTGCCCTGCGGCTGCGCATTCCGAATGCGGGCCCCTCTGAGCAAGTGCTTAGCTGCAAGAGGCCTCACGCGCTTGTTTTTGCCAAAGGTCAGGCACCCCCTGACTAAATCCATACACGCGCTTCGCTCCGTAGGGGCTCTTCGGGTTAAATTGCCTATGGCGCAGAATCAAACGAGCATCGTCGACGATTGGACCGGAGGCGGAGCGGAGAGATGCAGTGCACAGCGGACCAAAGCATCGTGTTCCTACCAGATTGGGGATGGATCTGGAGCCCCGAAGTAGGTCGCAGGGGTCGGCGCCGATGTCAGGTGGTCACATTACTCGACGGATCAGGTGATCGGCTAGGCACTAAGCTCTTTCACCATCATCACCATCTCCAGCATCATCAGCGTCAGCAGCATCATCATCAGCATCAACGTCAGCATCATCCTCCTCATCCTCCTCATCATCCCTCCTCCCCTTCTCCTCCTGTTCCTTCCCTGACATCCTCTCCCGCGTCGTCCCCGGACTCATGCACCTCGATCCTCTTGCACATCTTCCCGCCCCTCGCCGCCCTCCTTTTCCTGCTCTTCCTCCTCATCCTCTTCCTCATCATCCTCTCCGTCCGCCCCCCCCAGGAGGGAGATTGGGTCTTGCAGAGCCCACCGCGGGAGATTTGGAACACAGGGAACGGACACAACGACTCCTTGGAGCTGCTGCACCAGAGGCTGAGGTGCTCGGGAAGCACAGGTCCCTGGGCCCAGAAGCGTTCCTCCTACCGCCATCTCTACGGGGAAGAGGAAAAGGGAACGGGGCCCAGGGAGAATGACCGAGGAGAAGAAAAGATAGGGGAGAAGGGGGGTGGATACGCAGATGCTTCTCCTGGCATCTCTTACATCACTCTCCCCTGGGTGGTCGGGAGCCTGTCGAGCTGCAACAGGCCGGCGGGAGCTGCAAGAAGCAGTGGCTGCCCCTTTGGGCCCTCGGTGGGTCGCTGTATGGTCTGGGAACAAGGTGTTGAGCTCGCGTAGCTGGCGCCACGGTGGTGTGGGCCCTTGTCGTCGTGGGCCAGCCAGGGGGGGAAAGAGAGGGAGAAGGAGAGAAAGAGGGGAAAAAGAGGGGGAGAAAGAGGGTGAGAAGGAGAGAAAGGGGGAGAAGCAGAAGAATCAGGAGGAAAAGAAACACACTGACACCATTAACCTTCGATTCCGTAGAAAATATAGGAAAATATGAGAAGTGGGGGGGAAGACAGAAACCCAGAAAATATAGGAAAATATGGTGAATCATTTTATTTGTGTGTATTTATGTGTGTGTCCTGGGGCCCCTTCAAAGAAGAGGGGGAGACAGAGGGGGAGAAGGAGGAGAGAAAGGACAGAGAGGACGATGGATGCCTCTTGGTGGCCTCTTGTAGCTCTCTTGGGGCGTTCTGGGCGCCGCCTGGGGAGGACGTTGTGGGGACCTCTCAGGGCCGAGTTGGGGCCCTCTTCGGGCGCTGTGCGGCCATCTTGGAGGTATCCTTGGTCGTGGTAGGAATCCTCTTGGAGCCGTTTTGGGTGCCTCTGGGGCCCTCTTGCGCCGCCTTGGGGTCTTATTGGGGACCTCTTGGGCCACCTCGGGGTGTGACACGCCCGACAAGGCGAGAACGCCAAGGACCTTCAAAACCATGTGGAACATCAATTGCGCTTGCGTCTTTGGCCCCCCGTGGAGGGTTTCTTGGAGCCCTCTTCGGCAGTAGTTGGGCATATTGGGCCGTCTGGAGGCCATCTTGAGCCGTCTCAGGGTCATCTTGTGTCATAATTAGCCGTCTCGATGCCGTCCTAGGCCGTCTTGAGGCTCTCGAGGGCCGTCTTCAAGCCATCTTGGATTATCTTGGAGGCATATTGGGCTACCTTGGGCCGTCCAAATGCCACCTTGAGGACCCCGAATGCCCCAGAGGCTCGCGAACCTGAGTTGTGGGTGGGCCAGGTTCATGGGTTACGTGTGTGGATATGCGAGACCACCCTCCTATACAGAAGTTTGCGGTCAGTTGGCACAGATGATTCACGGCCAGGCCGCAGCGATAAAAATTGTAGTGCTGGAGCGCACCTTTGTTTTCGGCATGGGTTGCTGGAGGGTCCTTCCTCGATGAATGTAAGTCGCTGGGGCGACGCCCCTTGTGGGCTTTTAGAAATGTTAGCGCGAGAGGGCCAGGAGGGCAGGGTTCGATGGCTCGTGGCAGCATTGCGCGCGCATCTTTCTCACAGTGCCAACGGACGCAGCGATGCTCAAAGCGTGACGATCGTCCCAGAGATACCTGATGCCTACAAATGCACCTCGCATTTCCACTAGCAGCAGTTTTCCTTTGACTGCACCTAGCCTACCCGCCAAGTTTGCCTCCCGTTCGGCTCCTCCCAGATTCTTACTCCGCCAATGCGCCACAGTGTGCCCGCTTCGCTCGCACGCTGGGGTCCGCCGCATTGACGTTTCTCGCGTCCTCGCCTGAAGCACTGGCGGGGGTTCAGAATAGAAGGACGTCGGGTAGCCGCAACAGCTTGCCGCTGGCACTTACCTGCCTTGCAGACCTGCGCGTCGCCATGCTGTGCCCCGGCGGGCACTGCGCTGTCCAGCGAGAGGGTGCTGAGGAGGGGAGAAGCAGGCAAACGACGACGAATGCGCAGGCGGGAGGCTGGGGCTGGCGGGGCGGGCGGGCAGGCGAGAAAGGGGCCAGGCGACGACAGCACGCAGGGAGCAAAGGGAATGATGTGACACGAGGAAAAGGAGGAGGAAGAGGAGGAGGAGGAGGAGGAGGAGGAGGAGGAGGAGGAGGAGGAGAACGAGGAGGAAAACGAGGAGGAGGAAAACGAGGAGGAGGAACACGAGGAGGAGGAGGAGGAGGGAGGAGGAGCAGCCGCAAGCCGACGGGCTTTCAAAAGGACCAGGAGAAAAGGCCACCCGCGACGAGGTTACGGAGATACTGTGGCGGCGACCCCGACCAGGCGACGCAGGCGGGGGGAGTGCTGGAGTGGGTGGGGCGTGGTTCTGGCCGTCGGGATGGGCGTCGGGAGCGTCGGAGCCCCTGTTCGAGCACAGCGCCCTGCAGGTTGGCGGGGCTTGCCCTCTGCAGGATCCACCCGCCGCCTTGCTGAGATGTGGGCGGCCAGGTGGCGCCCGTGGATGGGGCGCGCGGAAGGGGGGGCGCCAGCGTTGCCCAGCAAACGTGAGAGGGGTGGAGCGGGGCGCTAGGCAACGCCCGGGGCGCATCGCCACAGCCGCGGCCAAGCAGGCCGCGGGCCCCCCCGCCCCCCCCCCCCCCCCCAGATTGTGTCTGGAGGCGATGTAACACCGTCCGCGCGTTTTCCCTGTGCGTGGAGATGGGGATGCGCTGGACGCGTTGGCCCGCTACCAGAGCGGCGTCGTTTCCCTTCGGCGTCGGCCACGCGTTTGGCCAAGACCACTGAAGCCTTGCGCACCTCGCGGCCCCGCCCGCCGCAGTGGGCCGCTACCACCACCATGTGGAGGAAGGTGACGCCCTGCGCCGCGCGCTGTAGCGCGGTGTCCACGCGTCGTTTTTCTTTAAAAATATAATATATATATATATATATATATGTTTTTATTATTAGTATTATTATTATTGATATTATTATTATTATTATTATATTGAAGAAATTAAATCGTCGCGCAGCTTTGCTGGCGCACTTGACGAAACTGTCGAAGCGGCGAGGAGGCCGGCGCGCATCCCAGACGTGGCGGGAAAGTCCCGGGCAATTGCCGTGTTTGTCGCGCTACCGGGGCAGGTAGACGTCGGCGGGGCGGCGGCTGTTGTCGTCCACGCGGGGCGCGCCCCGCTCGCCTCCCGGGGTGGCCTCCCCGGCGGCGCGCGGGGGAGCAGCCCGAGATGCTTCGACTCCGCCCCAGCGTGGCTAGCGGCCAGGGCGTCGAAGAGAACTGTGTTGCGCAAGCCGGCGAAACAAAGGGGGAGGCGGGCCCAGTGACGGCCGTTACGCCGATGAGTGAACACACGAGCTCATGCGAAACCCAAGGGGGGTGCCGGCAGGAGGGGCGCAGATTGGACAAACATTCCAGTAGAAAAGCCAGCATTGGTGAATCGATGGGCCTCTGGGAGCCAGCGTCTGGTGATCCAGATGTTGGTTCAATGTACAATGTTTACTTGACAGGGATGGTGAGGGTGGCGTTGGCATTGCGCACGACAGGCAATCTGCCAGCACACCCGCCGTCCTTGTCGCGGGCTTCCGCGCATGATCCATAGTTTGGTGCAATTGCATGTTCAAACCATCCTGTGGTGTTGGGTCCTCGTTTTGAAGAGACAGTGCCCCTTGTTCACTCGTTCCTTTTCCCTTTATCTTTCCCGCCATCATCATCATCATCGTCGTCGTCATCATCGTCGTCGTCATCACCATCTTCATCATCCATTTCGGCACATCCATCACAATTTCGTGGCCCCATACGGAGTTGCAGCGAAGGCCCCAATGGCGGTGCCCACATGCGCCCGCGCCGCCCATGTCGGCACACCCCATCACACTCTTCGTGGCCCCATAGGGAGCTCCACCGGCGGCCCCAGTGGCGGTGCCAACATGCGTCCACGCCACACATGACGTCACACCCTTCACTCGTTTCGTGGTCCCCTAGGGAACTCCACCGAAAGAGCGGTTTCCACTTGCGTCTGCGCCACCCATGTCGGCACACCCTTCACGTTTCGTGGCCCCACAGCGAGCTTCACCGAAGGCCCCGGTGGCAGTGCCCACATGCGTCCGCGCCAGCCATGTGTGCACACCCCTCACACGTTTCGTGGCCCCACATCGAGCTCCACCGAAGGCCTCAATGGCAGTGCCCACAGACGTCCGCGCCACAAATTTCAGCACACCCGTCACACGTTTCGTGGCCCCCTAGGGGGCTCCACCGAAGGTCACAACCCATGTCGGCACACCCCTTACACGCTTCGTGGTCGCACAAGGAGCTCCCCCGAAGGTCCCCAGCCCGCATGCGTCCGCGCCACCCATTCCAGCACACCCCTCACACGTTTCGTGGCCCCACAAGGATCACAACCGAAGTCGATGCCCGTAGCTGCGGCACCCACAACTGCATATGGTTGGGTCCTGCGCCAGACTAATTTACGTTGACACGGATTGCGAGAGGGGTGTCGGCATGGTCTTGGGTTTGTCGCCTGTCGAGTGGGGTGGGGGCGTATATATTAACCAGGAGCAGTGGTCAAGCTAATTACCCACAAGCAACAAGCCGTCTCGCTCATACCCACGCGCCCTCCCAAAACACAGGTAGCACCCGTGTCTCAGCATGGATGGAGGTCGCCATCGACAACCATCGGGAACCAATGCTGACGCCAGCCAGGTTCGCGGAGCCTGAAAGGTGCGCAGCACGTGCCGGCTGCGCGACGCCCACATTGTGCAGCATGTCGACCCTCCCATTGTCCCTGTCAGAAACCTAAACAAAGTGACGGCGGGTTAGCGAGCATGGTGTGTGCTGTGCGGGTGTGAGCATGGTGGGCCTACGCACAGCAGGCAGTACGCCGCTCCTCCCGCCGTCCCTGGCAAAATGAACGTTACATGTTTTGGTTGGCAGGGATGGTGGGCCTGCGCGCAGCAGGCAATATGCTGGCACCCCCGCCATCCCTGTCAGAAACCATGCAACATGAGCGCGGGGTGTCCGCGCATGAACCAGATTTGGTGGAACATGAGCTTCTGCAGCTCCCAACCGCAATGTGATGTTGAGTCCTCGTTTTGAAGAGGGCGCCCCAC